ATCGTGCCAGTATTTCTATTCAAGCACGCGTTATCCAAGATACAGTACACGAAACGACAATTACAATTTGAGTCTGGGCGCGAAGATGTTACTTCGGTATCGGGCATTTTCTCTTGCTCAGATTTTAACTTTAAACCTTCCCATGCAAATAAGTTTGGAACGGACTCACCGGTGTCGACTTGTATGGTACCTGAAGCCAGTGATAACTCAATCTAATTGTAAGGCGCCCGATCGGTTCCAGGATCGATCTTCCAATAGCAGGCTGATAGTCGTATGGAGATGAATCTTCAGATGCGTCATTGTTGCTGGTTATCTTGCGGTCGAGGAATCACTGCACTAGAGTTATTTCGCGACACGTCTTTACCTTTTATTATTCGTTGGAATTTAAGGATCGCACGTTAAATTGGAATAATGTTTAAGGATTTGAAATTAAAGATAAAATTCTCAAAGCAACCAAATAAATGTAATTATAAATGAAAATAAGAGTACATTGGTTTATAAATGAAATTACACTCAAATGAACTTATAAGATTAAGAATTCTTACAAACATATTAGCACTTATGTTCTAGAAATGGAACGCGCAGTTTGCGAATTAAGTAATTGAACATATAAAATTGATAAACCGAACTTAAATTAACCGTACCGAACTAGGACGAAACTAGAACTAGAATTAGAATTAGACCAAGACTGAGTCAGAATTGAAATTGCGAATGCGAAAACTAACGATTTGACCGAAACTGACTCTCTGACTGAGTATTGACGGCTTACTGAAAAATTGAATACTGACTCGGCGGCATCGCAGGGCCCGTATTTATACTCCTCTGGATCTTCAGAGACAAAGGTTTGTCCTATGCAATAGGACCGCACATGGATGTAATCTCGCTTTAGAATATCGAATGTTCGAGGCATGGTTTATATAAAACTGCAGGCGATACTCGAACCTAAGTTTTGAGAGTGGTATGGTTAACATAAAACCGTAGGTGATATCCGGACCTAAGTTTTGAGAGCGACGACAGATAATTTACAGTCGTACGCTTTGAAACGCAACAAGGGGTTTACGTTACGCGAAAGGTTTCGTGTTGCGCCTTTCTGGCGACATGTGTCGAGCGCTATTGATACAGCGAGCGATAATTCCAAGAGGCGATAAACTAGAAAGTTTAAAACAAAATTTACGAGTGGAAATCTACTTGCTAAAATATGGGGACGTTACAATATCTTTTACAATTCGAATAAAGAATATTAAAAAACAAAGAAGAATTTAGTTTTAAAAAATGTTAGTGGAGATGTATTTTACCAAAAAAAAATAATATTAATAGCAGTTTTCCAAGTCATTCGTAATTTCCTATATACGTGTAAATTTTGTTACGACTACCCTTCAGCTATCGCAAATCAATTTCTGAAAAGTAACAAACATGAGCGTAAAATATTAAATTAATAACAAGATACGTGTTTAATGACTTTCTACAATTAACAATTCTCGCTTCTCTCTCGCCTTATAAAAAAAAAAAAGAAATACGTGCTGTGTGTTGGGATACGCAGTGACGTTAATTTATAAAAAGAAACGTGGCTTTTTATATATAAAGTTTCAGATTTTCTTAATTTTTATGTTGTCAAACATTTTTTATCAATATAAATCTAAGTTGAATGTTTTTAGTGTTCTAATTACTTAATAATAATCAGTTCTAATTATTTAATAATAATTAATTCTAATTATTTAATAATAAGAATTAGAAAGATAATTTAATTATTATAGAAGTTTTTGACTATACTCTGTTCAACGAGAGAATAACCTCGGTCTGCGCATAGGAGAAGTATAGCGGACAAAGTGGGGAGAGCGTTGGCATTGACAAGCTGCACGAGCAGTACAGTCCTATAGAGTGAGGGGCTTTCTTAGCGTTTTGTGAGGGGAAACCTGCGCCGAACGGACGAGTTTTCGTCCGATCCGAGGTTACTCTCTCGTTGAACAGAGTATAGATGTGTTCGACTTCCAGCTTTATATTAAATATTCTTTAAATAATTAGAACATTGAGAATGTTACAATTAAGTCATAATTGTTGTCGATTTCAATTAAAACATTATTTTTATCGATTTTTTAATGATTGTACATTTTAGATACTGCATGGCAAAACTCTAAAAACAGACACCTGCGTTTGTTATTATGCAACATATATTAATGTGATTTTGATATTTCAATTTATATTCTTTGATCGACTTATAATCGACTTATAAAGCTCTATATTATTCTGTGTTTGTTATTGCTCTAAATCTTTACTTATCGTTAAACGAATAAATTTATTATTCTAAAATCAGATATAAAAAAATGTTTCAAATAAAAATTTCATGGTATCTTATGTATTTTATAATCTTGCATTTTGATTTTTTAATATATTTTTTTATTTATCTCCATCCTTTATTATTTTTAAATTTCAAAATTTTTCTCTAAGGACAAAAATTGAAAGTTTTTTATGCTGAATTCGTCCATATATAACGATGTTATTGTGTATTTTAAAATCGTATTTTTGGGGAATATCGTGCCATGTGCGTCGACACATATGACATGAGTTGTAATGGCAAACTACTACGTTTTCCTTATCGAAGGATTTTCCTATACGTTTTCCTTATCGAAGGATTTTCCTATACCTGAATCTTTTCGTTGATTGTGTAGAGAGGCGATTATACAATATATATTCTTAATAGTTTATTTGTGTAACAATGATACTGCAGGTATTTTACATCGCATAGATGTAAGACGATCTCCGGTAATCTGTTTGCTCGAATAGATTCAAATAGCGATACACATATGGTGCGCGTTTCTTGTCTGAAAATACTCGAATAGTTTATTAGCGCCATACCAATAGTAATAAGAAAATATTAAGCGTTTCTGCTTTTCTATTAAAAAGATAAGTCGCATGAGAACTTGATTGTATAATTGGGTCAGAGTGTTCCGACTAAAGTGTTATGAATCTTTTTTCTTTGAAACTATTAAAGGTACAGCAGCAAGATTTTTTCTAATATACATTAAAAAATTAAGACAACCTGACTTTCTCCCTGGGAGTCCAGTACCATCGAATATCTGTCTCTGTATATCAAGTAGAAAAGTCCAGCAAAGATTATAACATGAAAAAGAACACTCTAGCTGAGACACTCTGTATATAGACATTTATGTAAATATTTGTATAATATAATATCATACAATTTTTATAGATGTACGACATAATAAAGTATATATTCAGTTAATTGTTTTCTTGTTAAATCTTAATAATTAATAATATTTATATAACAATCACTAATAATTAAAGGGTTATTTACAGCGTTCCTGTTGCTTAAAGACCAGGGTAGGTATTTGATTAAGAAAAGACTTCTTTAATTTTTGATTTTTTAATTTTAATTTTTTTTTTAATGCATACAATATATTGAACAAACTCGGGTATATATATTCTCGCGCGTAATGAAAAAGTCCTGTTTATAATTTATCGAAAAAATTACGTTACATATATATGAATCGATTGCTTTTTAAAGAAGATATTAATTGGAGCATGAAATATGTCCTATATACAGTTAAATCTTAATGTGCGAGTGAAATATCACCGTTATACATCGTCGGTGTAACCAACGTTACCAAAAGTTTTACAAATGATACTTGTCGGAAAGTCTTGTCATAATATTGCGTACATCAATAGTCGTTATTATCAAAGAACGATTCGCGCACTATTTGCGCATATATTAAGTGATAAGTACAAATACAGTTTGTTTTCGGAATATAATCATAGTGTAATTCTCACTTACATATAAGATAAGTTAGCGAATTGTCTCTCCCTTGGAATTAAATCACATTTATATTTTTTAGGGGAATACCTAGAACCGCTACAACACTACAAGCACTAAATCTCGTATATAGATCTTCGAAATAGCATTTCTCAAAACCGTAATTAATCTAAATGTAATTAAGTCTTTAAGTACGAATCCTAAAGTTAGCAATGAACAATCTATACTCCGTTGAAAATGTTTCTTCGGTTTCTCGGCATGATCTATCACAATTTTGTTATATTTGGAAAGACAATTCTTTTCTGTCATTTCCTTTTATATTGATAATACCACATTAGTAAATAGAATCACATTGTTCTACAAGTATCTACACGATAGTCTCGAGCAATTTTCCTGTTGGAGCATCCTGACCAGGCGGGAGAAATTGCCGTCGAGCAACAGAAGAGTATTCCATATCGATTGGTTTAGTGTTGTCATAAAGTGCGGGTGCTTCGCATAAAATTGCGAACGTTCCGACCACGGAGGCTATCGTAAAGATCCACAGAAAGAGACGATCGCAAACCATAGCAACGAAACCCCAATCTTGATCCTCCTGTAATGATGTAACGAAGAATATAGTAAATAAATATTCGAAATTATTTTTTTCAAAATTTAAAATCAACAATCTTTTTAAATAAATCTATAAATAAGTCTTTTTAAATAAATATTTAAAATATACTCAAATAAAAATAATATTTATAAAATATATTCAAATAAAAATAAATATTTAAATATACGCAAAAATATTTACATACTAAAAATGTTCGGCAAATTTACCGATTTGTTATATCTTAATTTCATAATAAATGCATAATAAAGGCATAAATTTACCGAATTTTTTTACAGTGTAGATGTGCTCTTTTAGATGTTTGTAATGATTTTTTAAAATTTGTTTAATTGTTTAATTCGTTTAATTTGTGCCATATTGCTAAAAATGCTTACCGCGTTGTATTCGTCTTGACGTTGTAAATGATGTTGGATAAACATAACATTGTGTAAAGCCTTTTCCAGCTCGAAAGGATACTTCTTTTTTGGAGTTACATCGCTTAGTGACTCATCCAGACCGGACATAACTGTTGGAAGCCCATTATATCCTAAACTGCCGACTAGGAATCGATTGTGAGCAGTTGTTCTATGTAAACCGTTGCAACCTAAAATGCCGATAATTATTATATAATCGTCGTTTTTTAATTTATAATGTAGCAATATATATAATTACATATAAATATTTTGTTCAATAATATTTTCTACACAATTTGAAAATTAATACATGAATATTTGAAAATAATGTTTATGTCTTTATGATTATGAAAGTCATCTTTCATGATTTTTTAATTTTTAAGAAGATAGAATAAATTTAAAAAATTTGTAGGCAAATAAAGAGCAAACATTTTTAGAAATATAAAATTCTGTAATTCTACTTGTAATTTTAACAAATTAATCTGGTATTTATTACTAACTAAAGAAATTTTATTCCATTTAATTGTTTGTGATCATCGTCAAATCGATTTTTTTAGTGAAACATTTTAAAAAGACAGTACCATCAATTCGCTGATGGCGAGCGGAATCCGGCGAGGATACTATCGATGATGCTTGCGCCGCTGCTGCGATAGCAGCATTGAACTTGCTTTTCTTTCCTGATCTTCCTCTTCCGTAAATTTTGTGCGCGGCAAGATCATAGAACAGATCGTCGGGTACTCTCATTAGAAGTAGCTTCGGTAATCTTCTGATGAAGAGCTTTCGCACCCAAGGTGCCATCTTATGGGTACTCGGTTTGCGGTAATGCACATTCAGAATAGCTATCGTTATCACGACCGACAGTCCGACTAGGATCATCGTAAAGAGTAGATATTTGCCGAGCAACGGCAGTGCAAGCGAGGTGGATGGTATAATCTCAGATATTAGCAGAAAGAACATGGTCTGGGACAGCAGGATGTTGATACAGAGTGCAATCTTCTCTCCGGAATCGGCCGGCAGATAGAAGGCCAGCACCGACAGGTAAGAGATGCTGACGCAGGGCACGATAAGATTCACGGTGTAGAATAACGTTTTCCGTCGCAGAGTTATGTTAAAGAAGATATCGGGATACGGTTCGAGGCAACATGGGTAATATTTCTTGTGGCGTTCCGCCGGGACGCGCAATATATCCCATTCCACACTGGGATAATATTCCCGCAGGTCGATACCGATTTCGACTTGATCGCCCTTGTCGTTTTGATTAATGTGCTTTAAGTCGATCTGAAAAATATATATTTTATATTAACGGAAAACGTATTAAATCCATCTCGTAACTGAGCAATACGTATTCCAAATATTGTCATACATATGTTATATATTTTAAATAATAATATATTATTATCACAGCGATATTATTTATAATAATAGTCTTGTATATTTATTTGTATATATTTACGGATATATTTATCATGTTTGTATTTGTGTGTATATTTCAAGCAATAAAAGATTAATTTACCTGGAAGCCATCATATGTCCATGAGCCGAATTTCATGAAACAGGTTTGTTGATCGAAAGGAAAGTATCTAACGTCTATTTCGCAGGAAGATTTAAAAATTGCCGGTGGAGTCCAAAGAACTTTGCCAGTGTAATGCAAAACAGCCTTAGTCATCGTTGTCACACCGTATTCCCCATCGGCGCTGAAAAAAATAGGGTTCGTTATTTTGAAGATTAATATGCTTATAAGTTCTTTTCATGCAAATATAGTACATCTTGTAATTTCCGAGTAAAAGATCAATGATCTCTGAAAAATGCACTTTGTAATACATCACGCGCAGCATGCGCTTATATTTTTTTTATTGCAACTACTGTAAAAAAGATAAAGATATTAGCGTGAGGTCACGTACTTGTTATAAAGTACAATGTCGGGCAGCCATATATGCTCGCTGGGCACGTAGAGTTCAGTGACGCCGCCGTATTCCAAGGGATCCCACTTGAACTTATGGTCTTCCCATTCCTGAAATTATTTATTTGATTTGAGTTACAATTTACAATCTCAACAGCAACTAAAAATTGATTAAGTTTTTTTTTATATAACTCAATACTTACATGTTCTAACCAGACGTTCGTCGTTAAGATTTGATCTTTCAAATTCTGCAAATAACAAATAACATTTTAGGTTTTTTTCAGATTTTTGCAAATTTAGAAAAAAGAGAAAAATGAAATTTCGTCAATGTTTTAGTTATTATTCAATTCACATGTAAATTGCATGTTAATTTATTAATGCAATTTTTAATGACACGCGATATATTTCTTGTGTAAAATCAAGTCTATTACATACAAGATCTATCAGTTGTGAGAGACGGAGTCCTAGTTTTACAACAACAGTGTCAGTATTGTTGGATACAGGCCGAATCAGCCGATTATAATTTGAGAGTAGATCATCGTAAAGTCTCTTAGCGTCTGGATTGCTGTAGCAAATCCCCACCGAAAGGATCAGGATGATTAAAGAAGATATCATCTTGTTTCGTCAACGTACGATTAAATAGGAATCATCGCGAAAGCATCCTGCAAAATATTAAAATCAGTCGTGCAATTCATTTCGATAAATTTATAAAATATCTGTGAAAGTTATTTTATTGAAAAATAATTAAATTAGTAATTAATTAAAATAATTTTTATCATATTATACTCTGTATAAAATTTTATTTTATTTATTTTTCCTGTTTAATGTTTATCTTCGGCATTGCATTCTGCAAACATGCATAAAACAATTTCCTGTTTGTCATCTAGAAAATAAATAAAATATTGAATAAAAATTTTTCGATTAAGATTATTTTACATTTTCTATTACAATTTTTTATTCAACTGTTATTTATTTTTCTTGCTATTGTCGTTTGAGATTTTATAATTTAATTTAACTAGTACTTATAATTCTATATCGATAGCTTAACTGAGCTTTGCGAGTTGTTAGTTATAGAATTATAAACCTGTTGCATTAAGTGGTCATTTGCTCAAATTAATTTTTACGAGAAATATTTTATTGTTAAACTTTTTTATAAAAAAAAATTAAAATTTGATATAAAAATTATAAGCTTGTTGGCAATTTAAGTTCGCCAAAAATTTTTATCTCAAGATACTTATAATAGCTGAATTTCCTGCAATAAGAATTATTTTATTGATAATGTAAATTCGTGTCACGAATCATATATGACCGGATATTTAAAATATTGCAAAAAAAATGTAAATATTACACAAATATATTTACAAAAGTACAAATTGAAAATGTATATTAGTTCCATAAATAAATTTTGTATCGAATATTTAATATGATTTTTATTTAAATATTTAATATAATATTATTTCTTGTAATGTTTTAAGATAAATTAAAATTACCTTTCTTCTATATAATTACTATTATTTATTCTATTATAATTAATTCATCATCAATATAAACCATCAATAAACGAACAGATAAAAATTATTTTCTAAAATAAAAACTGTTTTAGCTGCTTATCATGTCGTGTCTGTACTTTCACATAATACTTTTATTCATCAAACGGTTTATTATTTATTATCGTTGAAGTCGGGCATGCATCGAATGTAATATAAACGGTAATGGCATACTTACACTTTGGCGTCTTTAGATTCCTCGTTACACGTTTCCTAAGCCTTTATCCTGTTCCTTTCTTGCATATCATAATCCGTCGTGATACGTTCGATCTGACGTGCGCTTATAAACCGGCGATGTGGACAGGTCCCGGTTCGGTTCTCATTACTTGCGCGGATCGGCTCTCTCGCGAAATGCCAGGAGAACGTCGAGCAGAAATGGCATTGTGTACAGCCACTGGAGCACTGGATGCTGGTACGTGCATCTCAAATTCGCAGGATCAATACACTATTGCGCATGTACCAGTATGATCAGCTTTGACTCTACGTGGTGCGAACGTTCCGCGCAAACTCTCCTCGCAAACCTTCCACTGCGCGTCGCCTCGTAGTGGAAAAAGGTGCGCGCACGTCAGCCGGGTCTCGACGATCCCGTTGCCTCGCCAGGGGTACTACGCCCTTTCCGCGTGATTCTCACAGCTCTTTCATATTTACGTTATTTCTCTTTTTTACTCTTTACATTTTAACGAGAAGATCCCGGCCAGTTAGGAAGACGAAGGGGGATTAATATTCAATTCACGATAAAATAACGCTAGTTATAAACAATGCTATAATTCATTCACCAATTCATTAATTTGACTTTTA